AAAGAATTGGGTCTTAGAGAGGCACCAATTTCCTTTCTGTCCAAGAACTCATTACATTTTTGAACAGAGTGTCTAAGATTATTATTTATTGCAGATAACTAAAAATTGGTTTATTTCCGTCTTTGGATTTTTATTTGAGATAGAATATACCATTTATTTTACCAAGAACTCTGCTTGGTTCCTTGCTGCTGTTCCCATTTCTAAGGAGACTTCAGTGGCTCTTATTTCTTGGCACTGTGTGGAGCTACCTAATGGCCCAACCTAGGTACTCTAGGAAGAATAAAATCCCTCATTGAGAGTTGTTTGTTCCATGAAAATGTGAAATACCGGATAGTGCCATAGCAATGTGTCACTTTACTGTAAAATAGCAATAATCAATTTAAATGAAGAAAGGTAGGGGCGCCTGGGTGGCTCAGTTGGTTAAGTGTCCGACTTCAGCTCAGGACATGATCTCACAGCTCGTGGGTTCGAGCCCCACATCGGGTTCTGTGCTGACAGGTCAGAGCCTGGAGCCTGCTTCAGATTCTGCGTCTCCCTTTCTCTTTGTCCCGCCCCAGCTTGCACTCTGTCTCTCTCTCTTAAAAAACAAATAAACATTAAAAAAAGTTTAAAAAAAAATAAATGAAGAAAGGTGTAAAGGTATTTTTAAACTGTTCACTTCTTAAAGAAGTTCCTAATACTCTTCTAAATTATAATTTTTTATAGAATAAAGAAGCTCATTAAGCATGCCAGCTGTTTGGAAAAAATATTTATCTACCCATCATTGGTTTCCTATCTTTACTAATATTATTTCTTTGCTCTGTAGGCGTCTAAATACTTTAAACAAATGTGCGGTGATGAAGCTGGAAATTAGTCCTCATCGGAAGAGAGTGAGTATATACGATATATAATAGGATGGGAGGAAAGGGGGAAGACCAAAAACTGTGTGTTTTGTAAGAGGTTTTATCTCTCAAACTCTTATTACTTCCTTATTCCAAAAACATCTGCATTTTTAAAAAAAATTTTTTTTAACGTTTATTTATTTTTGAGACAGAGAGACAGCATGAATGGGGGAGGGTCAGAGAGAGAGGGAGACACAGAACCAAGTAGGTTCCAGGCTCTGAGTCACAGCACAGAGCCCCACACGGGGCTCGAACTCACAGACCACGATCATGACCTGAGCCGGCTGATGCTGAACTCACTGAGCCACCCAGGCTTCCTCAAATGATCAGTAGTATTTAGCTATAGAATCCCTTCAGGTTTACCAAAGACCAAGTAGCCTTATGTAACTGAAACCAATAGTTGCGGCTAGGCAATGAATTGCCGTTTTCCTACTGTTTGTTTTTTTTTTTTTTTAATTGAGATAAAACTGGTGATAAATATATTTCAGGTGTATGACACAGTGGCTCAATATTTGCATAGCACTCCAGGTGATCAGGCAAGAAGCCCTCGTGAACATCCATCACCACACAGGATACTTACATTTTTTTTTTTCTTGTGATGAAAAGGAGATCGGCTTCTCTCAGCAGTTTTCAAATATTCCATACGGTATTAACTAGAAGGTCACCATGCTGTAACAGTCACATCCTCGAACCTATTTATTTGAGATATTTAAAATTTTGACCCCTGCCTCTGACAAACTGTAGTCTGCCTTTCTGTATCTATGTCTTTTTTTTTTTTTTTTTTTGATTGTTCTTTACTTTTGAACAAATCATCTATTACAGCCTTTAAACCCCAGCCTACCCAGATTAAAGGAGACTAGGGGAACCCCAGTGAACCCTCCATTATTCCTCTGAAATTGTGCTTAAAGTTCTTTAAACTCTGTCTCTTCCATAATAACAGTAAACAGTGTTTCAGAGCCAGGATGGAGGTAGCCTGTGGGTGCTGAAGAATAATGAGAGATAGAGCAAAAAGAGGTGGGGGAGTGGAGGACAGAGAATCCCACACACATTCTAGTGGAAATGGTGGCACATAACTGTGGATGAAATGTGAGAACCTTTTATGACTATAGTAAAGGAACCTGAAGGAGTAAATGCAACAGAGAAATGGTATGTTTACTGCAATTATATTTCTTTTAATTGCCCGAGCAAGTGATTTTGGTCATACCCCTGCAAAGGCCCTACTTGCAACAAGTCACCGGGAAAGTAAAACTTTTAAGAAATGAACTGGAACCTCAGCACCATCAAGCTGTGGAGAGGAGTCCACAAGTCAGCCGCTTCATGCTCTCTACTCATTGTCCCAGAAACGTGGGTCATGTGATACTTTCCACAACAGTGGGAAAGACATGCATCACACTGGAGCTGGGCCTGATTATCCCTCACTAAAAGGCTCAGATGCTGTGAAGTTTGTGACACAGCATAACCCCTGAGTCCTGCCCATAACAAGTATAATCCCAGGCAGAGATGTAACACGTGTTCAGGAGTACCTGCGCCAGTCGTGGACTGGGTATTTGTGAGCCTTTGTTGTAAATTGCCTGGAGCATGTCTGAGAGCGAAGTCTTCCACAGGAGCACAGGCATGTGCATTAGCCTCAGACCCTGGTGGGGAAGGGATGAAAAGAACAGTAAGAAGCTGAACCGCCTTGCAGAGATGTGGGTGATCACTTGCTTGAATCAGTCTGGTAGAGATCTTGTGGCGTTTTAGGGTGGCCACTGACCCCTGGTGGGTCCATTTTCTTTGAAAAGGAAACCACCTTTAATTGGGAAAAGAGAACATAAACACATGCTATCAACAGACAGCAAAATTGAGAATGGTGAGGAGTCCTACCCGCTGGCTGACTCAAGTCAATATTTTGCATGCTGAATTTTCACAGATCTTAGAGTTTTCCTCTCTGTGAGCACTTAAAGAACAGCCTGATGATCCAATAGTTTCTACAAAATAATTTATTTAGTTTGAAACACTATATCGTAAGCTTCTTCCCATGTCCTGACATCCAACATACATCTTTGTCATTAAAGACACAGCACAATCATAATACTGCAATAAATAAAGATAAAGGGGTAATTGATACTGATGGTCTATCATGAACTCAACCTGGGCGTCCGCCCCCAGCACATCGCCCCGCCCCTGGTTCGTCGGCCCAGCTGGCGAATGCCCATTCTGTCTTTCAGAGTGAGGATTCGGACGAGGATGAGCCCCAGTAATAAGCGGTAAATGGACTGCAGAGGGGAGAAGAGGTGGTCCCGGGCTGGAAGAGTTTGATGTCTTTCTTCAAAGCAGGGATCTAGCCCCTGGGCCCCGACGATGCTCAGTACACCTGAAGAACGCGAGTTTATGAAAGCATGCTTGACGGACTCCTCAGCGAAAGCCAGGAGGTGGCCTCCGTCCGCAGCCTCAGCAGCACCGCCTCCCGGGACGGGCCACACTGGGACGCTGGCACGCCAAGACGAACTCCGGGCTATCAGCGTAGGCTCTCCGCAAACTTCGCGGGCAATGACGTACTCTTTCTGCAGCCTGCCCTCCCAAGGAACTGTCTGGCTAGCCAGCTTGTGCATGAAAGGCCACGAAGAACGCCAAGTCCAACATACCACATTGAAGACGCCAGCCTGCTGAAACGCATGGAGAGCCTGAAGCTCAAGGGCTCGCACCACGGCAAGCACAAGGCGCTTTCCAAGCTGGGGGGGGCTGGATCATCAGCGGGCCCATCCTGCAGGAGGGGATGGACGAGGAGAAGCTGAAGCAGCTGAACTGCGGAGATCTCCGCCGCCTCAACGGCAACCACACATCAACGCGTTCGCTGCTCCTCAGTTGAGCGCTTCCAACTCCACGCGACCAGCAGCAGCAGCAGCCAGTCGGAGACCAGCAGCGCCGTGAGCACGCTTCAGCCCGGTCACCAGGACCCGAGCCTCAGCCAAGCTGGGTAAGCGTACCTGGAGGCTTCGATCCATTCAATCAGTCCACGCTCAACAACGTTATGGAACAGAACCAAGAACCATGGTGACCTATCCAGGACGCAGTGTTCTACATCCCGAATATCACACCGGCACTTGGGCGCTTCCAATGGCAGTTTTCCATCGGAAGAAATAGCCTCGGCTAACTGAGGACTGGTCACGCCCGTGAGTATATACGATATATAATAGGATGGGAGGAAAGGGGGAAGACCAAAAACTGTGTGTTTTGTAAGAGGTTTTATCTCTCAAACTCTTATTACTTCCTTATTCCAAAAACATCTGCATTTTTAAAAAAAATTTTTTTTAACGTTTATTTATTTTTGAGACAGAGAGACAGCATGAATGGGGGAGGGTCAGAGAGGAGACACAGAACCAAGTAGGTTCCAGGCTCTGAGTCACAGCACAGAGCCCCACACGGGGCTCGAACTCACAGACCACGATCATGACCTGAGCCGGCTGATGCTGAACTCACTGAGCCACCCAGGCTTCCTCAAATGATCAGTAGTATTTAGCTATAGAATCCCTTCAGGTTTACCAAAGACCAAGTAGCCTTATGTAACTGAAACCAATAGTTGCGGCTAGGCAATGAATTGCGGTTTTCCTACTGTTTGTTTTTTTTTTTTTTTAATTGAGATAAAACTGGCATATAACATAATACTAGTTTCAGGTGTATGACACAGTGGCTCAATATTTGCATATATTCCAAAGTGATCATGGCAAGAAGCCTCGTAAACATCCATCACCACACATACTTACATTTTTTTTTTCTTGTGATGAAAAGATCTACTTTCTCAGCAGTTTTCAAATATTCCATACGGTATTATTAACTATAGTCACCATGCTGTACGTCACATCCCCGAACCTTATTTATTTTATAACTGGATATTTGTAACTTTTGACCCCTGCCTCTGACAACCACCAGTCTGTTCTCTGTATCTATGAGGGTCTTTTTTTTTTTTTTTTTTTGATTGTTCTTTATCGGAACAAATCATCTATTATTTTGCCTTTTTAACTCATTGCCTACTCCAGATTAAAGGAATAAGACTTAGGGAACCCCAGTGAACCCTCCATTATTCCCTTCAGAAATTAAAGCTAAAGTTCTTTGGGAACTCTGTCTCTTCCCATATAACAGTAACAGTGTTTCAGAGCTGCAGGGATGGAGGTAGCCTGTGGGGTGCTGAAGAATAATGAGAGATAGGAGGGAGCAAAAGAGGTGGGGGAGTTGGAGGGAAGGGCAGGAAATCCCACACATTCTAGTGGAATGGTGGCACATAACTTCTGTGGATGAAATGTGAGAACCTTTTATGAGATCGGAGGAGAAGAAGTGGGTGTAGTCCTGGGAGTGAGTGTCACAAATTAGAGTAAACAGGAATAAGTTTGGTCAAAGAACATATTTCTGACTGTTCAGAGTACAGATTTTAATTATCCTACGGTCCCTGTCTTGCAACAAGCCGCCTTCTCGGGGGAGTTAAACCTTTTAAACAAATGAACTGGAACCTCAGCACCCACTGGGCTGTGGAGAGGAGTCCACAAGTCAGCGTTTCATGCTCTCTACTCATTGTCCTGTGAAACGTGGGTCATGTGATACTTTCCACAACAGTGGGAAAGACATGCATCACACTGAGCTGGGCCTTTTGATATCCCGCCTAAAAGGCTCAGATGCGGTAGTTTGTGACACAGCATAACCCTGAGTCCTGCCCATAAATCAAGCATAATCAGCAAAGATGTAACATCGTGTTTGTGAGTGTTCCATGCTGTCAGGACTGGGTATTTGTGAGGCCTTGTTAAATTGCCTGGAGCATGTCTGAGGTTGAAACTTCACAGGACATGTGTGGCATTAGCTCTAGACCCTGTGTCTGGTGGGGGAAGGGATGAAAAAGAACAGGTAAGAAGCTGAAAAGTATCCGCCTTAAGAGATGTGGTGACTTACCTTGCTTGGTGTCTCCACCGGTCTGGTAGGAGATCTTGTATGCTTTTAGGGTGGCCACAGACTTCAGTGTCCATTCTTCTTAGTGTTTGAAAACTACCTTTTTAATTGTGAAAGAGAATATAAACACATGCTATCAACAGACAGCAAAATTGGAGGCAGACCAGAGGGAGTCCTACCCGTTGCTGACTCCAGCTCAAAATATTTTGCATGCCTGGAATTTTCACAGATCTTAGAGTTTTCCTCTGTGAGCACTTAAAGAACAGCCTACAGATCCAACAGTTTCTACAAAATAATTCTTATTTAGCTTGAAACACTTGGTCAGGCTTCTTCCTGTCAAAGTCCTGACATCCAACATACATCTTTGTCATTTAAAAAAAGAATAATAAAGTAATAATCATAATAATAAGTAATAAAATAAAGATACAAAGGGGTAATTGATACTGATGGCCTATCATGAACCGGGTCCTGGGCGTCCGGCCCCCAGCACACGTCCCCGCTCCCTGCTGTCTGCCGGTCCCAGCGATGAATGCCTCCATTCTGTCTTTTCAGAGTGAGGATTCGGACGAGGATGAGCCCTGTGCAATAAGCGGCAAATGGACTTTCCAGAGGGACAGCAAGAGGTGGTCCCGGCTGGAAGAGTTTGATGTCTTTTCTTCAAAGCAGGACGCAGCCCCCGGGGCCCCCGACGATGCCCACCTGAAGAACGCGGCGAGCCATGAAAGCATGCTGACGGACCTCAGCGAGCGCCAGGAGGTGGCCTCCGTCCGCAGCCTCAGCAGCACCGGCAGCCTCCCGGTGCACGCGCCTCACACCGGGGACGCGGCGACGCCCCGCACGAACTCCGTCATCAGCGTGTGCTCCTCCGGCAACTTCGTGGGCAATGACGACTCTTTCTGCAGCCTGCCCTCCCCCAAGGAACTGTCCAGCTTCAGCTTCAGCATGAAAGGCCACGAGAAGAACGCCAAGTCCAAGACGCGCAGCCTGCTGAAACGCATGGAGAGCCTGAAGCTCAAGGGCTCGCACCACGGCAAGCACAAGGCGCCTTCCAAGCTGGGGCTGATCATCAGCGGGCCCATCCTGCAGGAGGGGATGGACGAGGAGAAGCTGAAGCAGCTGAACTGCGTGGAGATCTCCGCGCTCAACGGCAACCACATCAACGTGCCCGCGGTTCGCAAGCGGAGCGTTTCCAACTCCACGCAGACCAGCAGCAGCAGCAGCCAGTCGGAGACCAGCAGCGCCGTGAGCACGCCCAGCCCGGTCACCAGGACCCGGAGCCTCAGCGCCTGCAACAAGCGGGTGGGCATGTACCTGGAGGGCTTCGATCCATTCAATCAGTCCACGTTCAACAACGTTATGGAACAGAACTTCAAGAACCGCGAGACCTATCCAGAGGACGCAGTGTTCTACATCCCGGAAGATCACAAGCCCGGCACCTTCCCCAAGGCGCTCTCCAATGGCAGTTTCTCTCCATCAGGGAAGAACAGCTCCGTCAACTGGAGGACTGGAAGCTTCCACGGCCCGGGCCACATCAGCCTGCGGAGGGACAACGGCAGCGACGGCCCCAAGGAGCTTAAGCGACGCAATTCGTCCAGCTCCATGAGCAGCCGCCTGAGTATCTATGACAACGTGCCTGGCTCCATCCTGTACTCCAGTTCGGGTGACCTGGCCGACCTGGAGAATGAGGACATCTTCCCCGAGCTGGATGACATCCTCTACCACGTGAAGGGGATGCAGAGGATAGTCAACCAGTGGTCGGAGAAGTTTTCAGACGAGGGAGACTCTGACTCAGCCCTGGACTCGGTCTCTCCGTGCCCGTCGTCTCCCAAACAGATACACCTGGATGTGGACAACGACCGAGCCACACCCAGTGACCTGGACAGTACCGGCAACTCACTGAATGAGCCGGAAGAGCCCTCCGACATCCCGGAAAGGAGGGATTCTGGGGTTGGGGCCTCTCTGACAAGGTCCAATAGGTGAGAGCTTGGCTGCCCTCTGGAGGTGGGGGAGGTAGGAAAGGGATTGCTGCCGCTCTCATGTGGGGGACATGGGGTTAGGGCATTCCTGGCCCTGTGAGCTCCTAGGGAAAGAGATCAGGAGGCCCTAACATCCAAAAAGGGTGGATGTTGTTTCATAGGTGCGGAGTTTCAGCTTGAGAAGAGGAAGGAAGTCTTGTGGATGCATGGTGGCGATGGTTGTACAAGGGCGTGAAGAGATTTTATGCCCCTGAGCTGTCACTTAGTGGTTAAGATGGCCGTTTATGTAATGTGTATTTTATCGTGGGTGGGGAGGGGAAGAAAAGAATGGAGTAGAAGTCAGTTCTCTCGGTTCCTAAGATAAGAGGCCAGCAGGCAGCCCACCGCTGATTTTGTGTGTACCTGTTAAAAAGCCGTTGTACTCGCCCCTCCCCTTGCTCCTCTCCCTCGTGCTCACCCCTCCCCTGCTTCTCTCTCTTATACTCACCCCTCCCCTTGCTCCTCTCCCGTAGGCACAGACTGCGATGGCACAGTTTCCAGAGCTCCCATCGGCCAAGCTTAAACTCTGTGTCGCTGCAGATTAACTGCCAGTCTGTGGCCCAGATGAACCTGCTGCAGAAGTACTCGCTCCTAAAGTTAACCGCCCTGCTAGAGAAGTACACGCCTTCGAATAAGCATGGTTTTAGCTGGTAAGAGTTTACTGTGCTCGGTCAACTAATTGGAAATGTTTTGGGGCGGCTCCCTGAAGCTGAAGGTATCCATCCTCTATGAATGCCTTTCGACTATCATCCAAATGTAATCCCTGCATTCTTGAGGCCACATCTGATACTGCTCAAGCCAGTGTAACTTTGGGGACTAAGCAGCGGGATTGGTGGAGGGAGATTCAGTGCCCGGAGTGACAAATGGCCAGTTGATGGAGTGAGAATGTGTGGCTGTTCCATCACACTGTACAGGCACCTCCTTCCTGTGTTAGAAAGAGCCCCCCGTGGGTAAATAGATGTACTGATCAGATCATGTTATGGAAGGAAGGAAAGAAAAACGTTCAGGTCATAGGATGTTGAGACCAACTGTGAAATGCTTACTGTACAGTTCGGGCCTCCTGACCTTCTCCAGGTATGTTTTTAGAAATCATTTTTGATGGAAATATTTGAAGCATCACTCAAAAATCTCCCTGTGCTAAAAAATTTAGGTTATGTTTCTTTCTAACAAAGACACTTCAACAGTGAATAATAAACATAAGGAATTCACTGCTCTAAGATACTACAGACTAAATACACACGAAGGTAAAATCCCTCAGATGAACTGTTCATGATTACTTTTAAAACTGCGGCCCTCCGTGTGTATCACGTGAGATGGACATCGTTAGGCTGGATGGGCCACGGATGTGACCCACTGTGTGTGTATCTTAATTTTTCTGCTAGCAGTGCAAAGCCGAGAACTATCTCTAGATTGACATCCAAGTGCATTTCACAGTGTCAGCTGGGTATCCTTAAGCCTTTTCCCTAATCTGAGTGTTTATCATCTGGATTCACTGCTTTGTATAAAAACAGAGAAGCAGCCCATGTCCTCAGTAGCGCTCTGGAGCAAACCAGAGGGGCCGAGGTACGTCAGCAAAGCAGCAGAACTGTTGTTTCTCTCTCCAGCCCCCCGTCTCCTCAGGACTCGTAGTGAGTTTAGCTTCAGCATCAAAGCACCTCCCGTTCAAAGGCTGTTATTATGTGAGCCTTGCTAAATACAGAAGTTGTTTGTTCTGAATGACAGAAATAAGTATTGACCGGTTTATCCCCGCATGCTTCAGATTCTCGGTGGAGATCGTAATGTGTTCTTTGCACATTCCGCCGCTGGCTTTTTTCCCCCGACAAAGCAAGTATTATGCACGCTTATGGCCATGATACCATAAACTTACTGTATGGAAATACAAATTTGGCTCTACGCTTTAGTTTTACCTTTCGTAGGGCTATAAACAGTAACGTGCCATGGCTGTTGGCGAGCGCTCAGAAGTCAAAGCAGTCTGTCTTCTGCAGTGTTCCTCTGTGCGTAGAGTCATATTTTCCCTGCTGGCTATTTAAAAGTGCATATTTTACATTCTCGGTTCTGAGTTGCCCACCCCCCCTTCCCACCAAACCCTCAAGAATCTGAAAGTCCGTAATACTTCTTGAGTTCTGGTCAGTTTTTCCAGTGAGTCAAAACCAAATGTAAAAGCCTCGCATTGTGGGATCCATGGAATAGGGAGAAATTCTACACAAAGTTCTTTTCCTGTTCGGCCTTGCCCTTTCTTGTCCCGTTTAGAGAGGTCACTTGTAGAGCTGAAATTTCTGCTTGACAGCATTAAATGCATGACATCGGTTTCCTGTTGCTCCATGTACTTCTGGGGCTGGACCTGGTTTCAGGACTCCAGGGAGCCTGGGGTAGGCTCACAAAACCTTCATTGTTCTTTTCCATCTTCCTTTAGAAACCTAAAGATGTTATATTCTCCAGGGTCATCTGCAGGAGAATTTATTTTGACTTCGGGTCATTAGCTTGGCCCCCACTGTTGAGCTCTGGAATTGGTTCTCATTATGTTGGACCAACATCACGTATTTGCTATTTTCTCCTTCGGCATTACATGATCCTTTTTATACCCTAAATACTTTGTATCTCATCAAGAACTTAGAAATGATTCTTGCCCATTTACAGGACAAATGGGAACGTGTTTTTCAAATTCTGTCGTGAAGCTCCTAAATTAGGGCCTTGAATGTTCTTTTCTGTTCGTGTGCCTTCCTGTGCCGCCATTTTGTAAGGAAGCCCATCAGCTCCCTTAAGGATATAAACCCAGTTCTCAGAGTTAATAGTGGGAGAAGAATCCCCAGTGGAGAAAATGTTACTGGGCCTCAGAGCCCCAACTCTTAGAAGATCCAGAATAGCACTGTCCCGTGAAACTGTCTGTGATGGTGGAAATGTGCTGTATTTGCTCAGACGGCAGCTACCGGTTACAGATGGCTAGTGAGCACTTGAACTGCGGCTAATACAACTGAGGAACTAAATTTGTCATTTTATTTAATTTAAATAGCCACCTTAGTAGCACGGATACAAAGCTCACAGGGTTTACCTGCAAAAGATGGATTAAGGGTCTACAGACAAATAAACATAACCTCCCCCCACCTGCTCTTTAAATAGGGCTGTGCCCAAGTTCATGAAAAGGATCAAGGTTCCAGACTATAAGGACCGGAATGTGTTCGGGGTCCCTCTGACGGTCAATGTGCAGCGCACAGGACAGCCTCTGCCCCAGAGCATTCAGCAGGCCATGCGCTACCTCCGCAACCACTGTTTGGATCAGGTGAGAACTGCCTCGTGCAGGCCCCGCTGAATCATGGGACCTCAGATGCATGCTTCTTTTTTATAGTTTTGTAGTGAAAATGCTGCTTCTGTCTTGCTGTTTAATGTTTTTCTTCCAACAGGTTGGGCTCTTCAGAAAGTCGGGTGTCAAGTCCCGGATTCAGGCTCTGCGCCAGATGAATGAAAGTGCCATAGATTGTGTCAGCTATGAGGGACAGTCTGCTTATGATGTAGCAGACATGTTGAAGCAGTATTTTCGAGACCTTCCTGAGCCACTAATGACGAACAAACTCTCGGAAACCTTTCTACAGATCTACCAGTGTAAGTGTTCTTTGATCTTAATGCCGTTGGCCTTGGGGAAAAGTGGGACCACCTGAAACCTTGGCTTCCTTTGATGCCATTCTTTTAGAGCCACATGATGACCTTCCTGGAAACACATGTCATCAACTTCTTTCTTCCTTTTCTCCTTGTTTGTGGAATAGGTTTCTGTGTACCTGTTGAATAATGCAGAAATAAATTTCCCTTATCGTCATTCTCTAATTACTGAAGCAATTACACATTTTTACATTGTGATCCGGGAGCTCATTCCTTCATTCGTTTCTAGAACAGTCTTCCCTTAGATGCTTAAAAGAGCAGGTACCAAGATATTTCAGTTGACTCTCATCTCTCCAGCAGGGCCTGCTGTGTTTAAAACGTCACAGGTGTCTGTGTGGTTTATCTTGCTGGAAAGTGAATAAATAATCTTTTTCTGTTATTCATCTCCACTTCTGCCAGAAATACTTGGGAAAACAATACCCATGCCCTTCTCACTTTTAAGTAAAGCTTAAAGCAAACAGTTGTCTAAATTAATGGTCAAGATCAGGATTATGGCTTTTACGGCCTCGTGTTTTTCTTGGCTCCGTGTGGTGTTACAGCCATGTAATATAGAAGCAGCTTCTCTCCGTGCTCAAATTGTCTCCAGCCTGGTGCGCTGGACCTCATCTTATGAGAAATGGAGCTGGTCTGGATTATTTCATTATTTGTTTCATCCTTTCAGATTTTCTGAAAACACAGGTCACATTTTCCCCACCAAGGTATTTGTTATGTGTTGTAACCATGGAGCCGTTAATCGGTTTGTCCTACGGAGCTGCACTTGACTGACTTGATTTTTCCACCACATGCCTCTTAAAAGGCAGATTTGCCGAGTAAAGGAGACCTGAAGGTTGAGCCCCACATTTTCTACATGTATGTCATTTTCCTGGTTTTATTTCTCAGGCATATATTTTTGTAACAGCCTCTCAGTATGCTTTCTAAAACTTAAAAACATTACTAGTAAAAATATCTGTTTCAGCTGACTCTTTTAGCAGCTTGCTTTCTCCATTTTACGAATGAGCCGATCAGTTCTAGTTATGGAAGGTCCCCAAAGATACTGGACCCTTTGTATAAAGGCCAAGAAAGATTTTATCCCCTTGTACATGTCTTCAATAAGGTTTTTCATTGAAACTACACAAAAGTATAACTGTGTGTTGTGTTTTCAGTAATCGAGAATGGTAAACTGGGGAGTTCCAAAAAAAAATACTTAGAAAAGAAAAGCTATTCCAAAAACCAAAAGAACAGGCATCATATCTGGAGCTGAACTCTGAGGTGGATTTAGGATATTGGCATTGTGGGTGTTGAAAATTTTTTAACTCCTCCACAGGCAGGAAATACTTGAGGGCAGTGACGCTGGTGGCCGTCCCTAATTTCTTCCATATTAACCTCAAGTACACTTTCTGCAAGCGCTTGTTCAGGACTGGGCCGAGGTCGTTGGTGCTGGTGTTTGCTTTGGGACGTTTCCTTGCAATGCGCGTGGAAAAGCACCGAGCTGATGGGGGAAATGCCTGTGTTATACAGGTGTGCCCAAGGACCAGCGCCTCCAGGCGATCAAGGCCGCCATTATGCTCCTGCCTGATGAGAACCGGGAGGTTCTACAGACGCTCCTTTATTTCTTGAGCGATGTCACGGCCGCCGTCAAAGAAAACCAGATGACCCCCACCAACCTGGCTGTGTGCCTAGCGCCCTCCCTTTTCCACCTCAACACCCTGAAGAGAGAGAATTCTTCTCCAAGGTACGGGTCAGACGAGATATGCACGCACATGCTCTGTTCTTCCAACAAACGCAACCTACCTTTCCTTCTCAGTTGTCCCTGGGTTTTCATTGGTTTCACACTCGAGTCAAGCACAAAGGAGTTTGGCCTCCATCCTTCACGGTCCCCTTACTTCCCTCCTTTCTTCTCAGCCCTGGGGGCATAACTTTCCAGACAGTCTAGTGACAACCAGGCTTTGAGAGCAATTTGGATGTGTGCTGCATTATGGCAAGTGTTTTCCCTGAACCCCCCCCCCCCAGTGCCCTCTGTGACGTTGCCATCAAACTTTCTGCCAGCAAAGGATCATGAGGATTTGCTGACCTAAAAAACTGGATAGGGATAAGGCCCTTGCTGCCTTGACTTCTGCAGAGTCAACAAAGCCAAGCCCCCAGCCTGTGCTGCAAGTTGTAAGGTAGTCAGCTGGATCTATCAGAACTAAGGATAGCGTTGAGCCTCAAAGCTAGACCTGGCCTAGGCCAATTGTGTGCAGAGTTTCTCGTTAGATGTATACAAGCTGGGAGTGGCCATAGAAGAAGTCAGAGAATCTGGAAAATAACTAACAAAGGCTGATATTTGCTCAGCACTTACTCTGACCCAACCACAGGACTACACCCTTGACATTCATTCTTTCATTTAATCCTTGTAAGGATCCTAAGAGGTGAAGATACTGGCAGGGCCTATTTTAACATGAGGACAGTGAGACTTCAGGGAGGGTCAGTTTAATAGTTTAATAGGTAATTTGCCCACATCTGAAGGGGAAATGGCAGAGCCAGTTGAAGCTTCTTACTGGTGTGAGTATTTCACGTACCGGCCTCACAGCAGAGTAGGTGAGAAAGGAGTCCCCGACTGGACACAATCCCAAATGTGAAACCCATCCAGCTGACCCTTCTCCTCAGCTCTAAAGGTGCTTGACACATATTCCTTAGCTACAGGTACAGCCTGGTTCTACTAGTTGAAGTGAGCTTTGCTTCTGAAAGCCATATAGTACAGTATCTTTTTATCTGGTTCTCACGTGGACTGATGCATTCCATCTTCAATAGGATAGGGAACTGGAGATGAGCAGGAGAGAGAGATCAGATAAGATTAAGACAAAATCTCTAGGAAACAATAGATTGTCCCCTTACCTTCAGAAGGGGATTTTATTTATTTAAACCGTAAAGAATGGTGACACCATTTACTGCAACATCCAGTGCCTCCCATCTATGCACCCGTGCAAGCTGCCTTTCTTCTCCCCACCACCACCTAGAGACCTTCTGGGCTGTCCTATTTAAACGGGAACCTGTTTAACGTGATGGTTTTAAATAGCCTGGATCTCACTGAAAACCGCCCCTTTCATGTTTTTGTTTGGTTTGGTTTGGTTTTTTGGGTTTTGTGTGTGTGTGTGTGTGTGTGTGTGTGTGTGTGTGTGTGTGTGTGTGTGTATGCTCGGCTGATAAAACTGAGGAATTTTTGTGACCAAAGTGAAGCTCTCCCGAACCTCTTAAGAACAGATAGGCTCCAGTAAGATAGTTTTTTTTTTTCTCTCCTCTGGGTTTCCTGGAATAACACATTAATTAAAAACATATAAATATTTGAGTCTTCCCCCTCCCTTCTTTCTTCTGCCTAGGGTGATGCAAAGGAAACAAAGCTTGGGTAAACCAGATCAGAAGGATTTGAATGAAAACCTCGCTGCCACGCAGGGGCTGGCCCATATGATTGCCGAGTGCAAGAAGCTCTTCCAGGTGAGGCGTCAGGGGGTTTGGCGCCCGGTTGAGAACTCCGATAGTTAGGACCAGGTCGTGGGCACCATGCTTGCTCACATCTTTACACAGCTGGAGATTATATACATGGCTGGAGAAGGTCTTTTTTGTTTCTTTTATTAAAAAATCTTATTTTATAACATATAAGCTCATTAGAGCTAATGTGTTTAATGAAATTCGCCTATCTCCATACCCCTTTACTTAAGAAGCAAAAGTAACACATTTTTGAATTAAGTTCTGTATCTGAGAGGCAAGCCCTGGGTTAGTCATTTACCCTCTACTGTGACTTCCCAAAGCGCAAGAATACCTCACGTGAGAATAGGCTTTTTGGACACCTTCAGGAAGGTGATCTGTTCGTATCCTCACTACTCACGATAGCACGTGAGGTCAGCAGGGCCACCGTCCGTCTGCTGGAAAGAGAGTAGTGGGGGCGCCTGCACCTCCCTGAGAACCCAGTCCGCGGCTCCTGCACTGCCGCTTCCTCTGCTGGGCAACAGGAACAGTACAGACAGACTCACCTCCTTTTTGTCCCTTGCACCCACCACAGGTTCCCGAGGAAATGAGTCGATGTCGGAATTCCTACACAGAACAGGAGCTGAAGCCCCTCACTCTAGAAGCACTGGGACGCCTGCGTAACGACGAGTCGGCTGACTACCAGCACTTCCTCCAGGACTGTGTGGATAGCCTGTTTAAAGAAGTCAAGGAGAAGTTTAAAGGCTGGGTCAGCTACTCCACATCAGAGCAGGCTGAACTGTCCTATAAGAAAGTAAGTCTTGTCCCCACTGTCAGCCAGTTGGGTTCCAGTGGTCAGGATTCAGGTTCATCAGAGATGAGACCCTGTGGCCGTGTTAACACGGCTGTCTGTGGGAATCTGTCACCCACTCCCTCCCTTGTAGATCTGGGCAGCCAGGTGATTCAGTTCCCCAGGTAAGAGTGGAAGAGTCCAGCAAGGAATAATAAATACACTTGTCAGAGGAATCCGACCATCTAATGAAATCTTCTGGGGCCACAGAATCACACTAGAGTCCCCTGGAATGTTTTACTAGTGGTATTGGGCTTTAAGGTGTTTTATGACATGATCAGATTTTTCCATAATTTGCTCAGAATCCCCTTGCACTGTCCTCTGTTCTCAGCCACTTTTCTCTTGGCCCTTTAATGAGTGGAGAGTACTTGGGGGAGAAATTAACTTGTTAGGACTAAAAGCCCCTTGAAGACAGAGGCATCTTGTATGGTTCAGCATGACAGGCCCGTGATAGTATTTCTTGGTCCTGTCTCTACCACCTGGAGAAGAAATAAACAGTGGGAGTGTCTGGATGGCCATGGAGGCTTTAGAATGGGTATATAAATCATCTGATTTTATTGCACTGACTCTAATATAGGCCCCAAGAGAACAGATGTTAATAATTTTAACTGGAAAATTAGTCTAAGGCCAGGCTTTCTGGCCTGCTCTTGAATATACTTGGGAACGCCAGCATATAGATAGTAATTAGCCCCTAAACACATGACCATAAATAGAGCTGGCAGTTTGCCTTCAAAGTGTAGGTGTGTGTGAATTGTAGCACTGAAAAATGCATCCTCTTTTCAGGTGAGCGAAGGACCGCCTCTGAGGCTTTGGAGGTCAACCATCGAAATCCCTGCTATGCCTGAGGAGATCTTAAAGCGCCTACTTAAAGAGCAGCACCTCTGGGATGTAGACCTGTTGGATTCAAAAGTGATTGAAATCCTAGACAGCCAAACTGAAATTTACCAGTATGTCCAAAACAGTATGGCGCCCCACCCTGCCCGGGACTACGTTGTTTTGAGGTGAGAGTTTCCAAAATGATTACTGTGGCAAGGATGAGCCTGGTGTCACTGAATATGATAAGATGGTACAATTATGTAAAACGGAAGGTGTGGAACCATTGCAAATATGGGAAATGTATCTGTATGTATTCCAACAGTGTGTTCATCGCTGAAAACGGTTGGAACACTTTTGGAGCTGAACTCAGAATTAGAGGCACATTCAGTTGAATATGCTCATTGGTAGCAGATTCTTGCCCCTTTAAGGATGGATTTTCTCACTAGAAACAGCAAGTGAATGCATAAGCCAGGAAATAACATTTAAGTCCCAAGTACACTGTGGTTAAAGCTGAATTATATGTAATTCATAAATTCTCTGGAGACATGATTGAAAGAGGAATTCCAGAAATCTTTGAGGAAATGTCCCGTCATTAGTCCAGAGCTTTCCAACAGAGCAACCCTGATCTGGATGTCCCATGTACAAATCCATTTGTGAAATGTAAAAATGGCTTTCATTCACACTTCAAATTGGTTCTCTTTCAAAGAACTGACATGTGAATATATACTCACTGTAGTGACGCTGCACAGAGTTACTCATTCAAGAGCCCTCGCACAATAGTTCAAAGGATACCGTCTCCAGGACTGGGTCACACAGCGTAGCCACTGACCCTGCCCCTTAGCTTCTGAGAGTGGGGCCCCATTTTAAACTTGGCTTCCAGAAAATTCCATCTTTTTTACTCTGATTTTGTTTCTGCAGAACATGGAGGACTAATTTACCTAAGGGGGCATGTGCCCTTTTACTCACCTCTGTGGATCACGACCGGGCACCTGTGGTGGGGGTGAGAGTCAATGTGCTCCTGTCCAGGTATCTGATCGAACCCTGCGGGTCAGGGAAATCCAAACTCACCTACATGTGCAGAGCCGACTTAAGGTACGTTCTGATTCTAATTTCTGACACGGTGAGGGTCATGAAGGAGATGAGACTTTTTGTCTGACACAGAGAATGGCTTAAATGAACACGTCATTGTGTCTTGTCTGTTCCCTAAAGAGCAGTTTTTGTAAAGTAACACCTTCGTGTTTCTTGGTGTTTGGGGGATGGCTTCCTGATTTCAATCCCTTAGAGAATGTGGTACTAAAGCAACACGAATACTCTGGTTCTGACATGAATTTAAAGCCACAGGAAATGAGAGTTTGAAGTAGCAGGCAGGTGATTCTCATTTTACATTCAAAGATATTTGAATATATGACATACCCTTTTAGTAATTAATTAGGCCTGTACTCTGTGCCATTGGTGAATGTGTGTTCCTATTAGAAAATTTGTGAAATTCAGCAATACAGACAAAAACATGAACCTCTAAAAAACTTTCCAAAGTGGTTAAATTCTCATTTGAAGTCTTTACATCTCAGTACTTTTTCAACTGTCTGTGTGACTGCAATCTGTTTTTGTTCTATATGCTAAAACTTTTCCCAAACAATGCACTCAATATCTGTACTCAGTATGTTGTTCCTTGAGAAACTTCTGGTTCCAGAGGTGTAACAGACGTGCCAGGAGATTATCTTGGAATACGATCTTTACTTACAAGGTTTCTGGATCAAGAAATGGAAATGTATTCCGAATTCCCTCCAGCTTATTTCAGTGTTTTCCAGTTTGAAGACTCCATGTGCTTTTCCTTCCCATTATAGGGGCCACATGCCAGAGTGGTACACAAAATCTTTCGGACATTTGTGTGCAGCTGAAGTTGTGAAGATCCGAGACTCTTTCAATAATCAGAACACTGAAACCAAAGACCCCAAATCTAGGTGATTACTGAAGCCAAGCGACTGCGTCCGCCATCTGGATAGTTGTTTCTAGAATTTTTGCCAGTCCTTGGAAGAATGCGTTCTGAGTCTAATCTGAAACAAAGCAAACGACAAGTTGGAGTGTAGGAATTGACTTTTCGTGATTTAAGACATTTTCAAAGCTGCTTCCTGTTTGTTTAAGGTCTAGAGTACAGACCTTGACTGGAATATGTAAGACTGTGCAAAAAAAAAAAAAAAAAAAAAAAAAAAAAAAAAAAAAAAAAAAAAAAAAAAAAAAAAAAAGTATTCTTATCCAAACTGCTTCTGAGAAGCAAAACTATAAATACATCACGAAAAATAATGAAGATACTTCATTCTCTTGTGATTCTGGCGTATGTGTACCTATGTCATTTTATTCGCGGCGTGCTGAGGGACTGGCGTATCCACTGGAATAGTTGGTACTCTTTGACATGTTTCTCACTGAGATGAGCAAAGAAAGGTTTGCACAGAGGAGTGTGTGTATGTGTGTTTGTTGCTGGTCGAATGGCACAGATGTATACGTTGGAACACAGTGTCTGGCACACTGAGATGCCTCCCAGGAGGATACCGATGGGTCAGGTTCAGTTTAACCTGGAATATCTGACTGCCCGTGGATCCATGCAGAAAGGGAACCCCAAAAGCCTCGCCCACTTGTTTTTTTTCCAAGTCATTAAGCACATTCCTTTTTTTTACCAACCTCCTCTTCCCTTAAAGTAATTGTAGTAGCTTGATTCCGCTGTCCCGTCTCAAACACAGTAAGTCTTCAGATCTGATTGCAAATAGTGATAGACTTTTTACCCAGGATAGATCAGGTCAGGGAAGAAACTCCGCCCCACCCCCACCCCCTTCCCCACCCTTACTAGCTCCAGAGCACAGTTTTATTGTGTGTTTTTGTTTGTTTTTTAAGTCGAGATGTAATGACTAAACACTCTAACATCTCCTCAGTTGAGCCCCGGAACTTTTTACCTGCTGGAATTTTTTGCATTTTCATGTTTCGAACCCAAACTCTTGAAGACATACTGAAACATAGGAAACTACGTCTGTCCCAAGGAAATCCCTGTAAATTTAAACCAAGGTATTAAAATTTAACAACAGGCGTGGATTCTGGTTATTCATAGCGCTTCTGAAAGCTGCACATACTTAGTAATTGGATCTGTCCTTTTCAGCAAATAGGTTTTCTGGTTTTGTGACTTTTTTTTTTCCCCTCGGCTTTGTTTTCCCTACGTTTCTTTTTCTTCTCCTTTATAATGATGCCCCTGGAATGTATGTTAGTGGTAAATGAAAATAGCTATCATAGAAAGAAAACCCAAAAAAAGTGCCAGCACCGTTTTTTGGAAGGGTGGTCTTTATACAGGTTTTACCGTAACCATGAAGATTGACTCATGAGACAGTATTAGTGACTTTATTTTGTATGGATCAAAAGTGAATAATGTATGAATGAGAGTTGTAAGAAGGAGTTTTATTTTGTTATAACATATTATAGTTACCATTGTCAGTGTTATTTCAAAGGTTCTTTGAAGAATTTGCAGCGGGGGAAGATTAGAGTTTTAAAATTTGAGTATTTTGGATATCAGTGTTCCTCATGAAGATATACTTGTATATGCAATTTTAATAGCTTTCAGATTTGTAAGATTGTATGTTGTATATACCATTCTATTAAGATAAAGAAACATGTCCACATGTCCACTGTGCTTTCAAACCTAGATAAAGCATGACAAAAATTATTATTTAAAATATACTTGTATTTATACCTCAGATATTCTTTTGGGTTTTGTACCTCAATGCTTTTTTTTTTCCTAATGTAAATACACTTTACATGAATACAGTCTAAGTAAAAAAAAAAAATAAAAGAAGAGGTTTATAACTTGCTCTATATCTGTACAGAATATAATCCGTAAGTGCACTATTAAATGTTTAAAGTAAGGGAAAGGTCTGGCCTGCTTTCCTTTGTATCGCATCTCACTCCTACCCTTAGAACCACAGATTGCAAAGCATATCATCCTGGCATCAGCCAAAATGAAAATCAGATTTGCTGAAGGAAAAATGGGACTGCAAATAATTTCAAGGCCAAACTGCAACTGAGCCACTCACTAACAAACAGGAAACCCTAGTGAAGGTTCAGGAAGCATGGAGATGCTGTCCTAACAAAGGTCGTTAGGAAAGGATGCTGAGAAAGTTATAAGAATAAGGAACCAGGAAGAGTAAGATGCTCATATAAGCAAAGCCAAGGTCACCGTTTAATTCCACAAAAGGTCTCTTTCCCACTGTTCAGCTTTCCTGTGGAAAGGATTCCTTAACATATTTGACAACAGGAGAATTCAGAGGATGTGAATGTTCCAAGAACTCTGTGTAAGTCACCTAAAGTGATACTGCCACAACTTACTAATTGTGACTCATCACCTAGATTGTAAGCTCTTTGAGGGCAGGGCTCTCCTCCACATCTTTATAACCCCCTACAGCAGCTTTCAGCGTTTTGTACTTGTAGGCACCTAATAAATTTATTATTTGCTAAATGGAACTGGTTGAATTAGCTTCTGTCATTTGAAAAGGAAGAGAATCTAGGATGCCGTCTAAGCCCTCGCTTTGGTTCATCACTGCCCATTTTGAGATTGTACAGAGTGGACATTCTGGGATCCACCTAATGGGATCTTAAAGTATAAACTGGTGAAGACGTGCGGAGACCCTATATAGGGGCTGTGGACGCTGATGGTAAATTGAAGAGTTCTTTGTGATGCAATTTTAATCAGTCTTGTTTCTTGGAAACTGATATCCCTTTTAGAAGAGGTTTTATTTGGACAAACACTCACTCTGGGCATAGTAAAGGGAAAAAACCAAACTTCGTAATTTTTAAAAAGACACAAAGCCTTTTTTTTTTTTTTTTTTAATGTGTGTCCCTGCCTCCAGACCTGGTTTCCTCAGAACTGAATAAAGATCAAAACATAACATATTGAGCCTGAAATAGCTACTACTTTGTTTGACAGGCTGCAGAAGGTTACCAGGATGGAGGAGACATCCTTACAGACCCCATTACAGATTCAGTTGAGTCAATTATTCAGCCCCTACTGTTTACCTCACACTGTGCTCAGTCCTGAAGATACAGCGGTGAGCACCTCACCCTGCCCTCCCAGAACTGAAATCTCACAGACACTAACGTAGAAATGATACACCACGTCCTGACTGAGGACAGGTTCCTGTGTACCCGGGGGGCAGCTTAAGATCTTAATTGAACAAAACTCAAGATAACTATATGCAAAGCATCTTGCTTACCAATTCGTAGATAGAATAACTTGGAAAATTCTAACAAATAGTTCTTTAAGAGATTTCTTTTTAAGAGCTGATTGAGACAAGTGAGACTTTTCTGGAAAGTAAGTAAAATCTAAAGAAAAATAAAGGAAAATGATCCAGATCAGTACTTTTTTTTTTTTTTTTTTTTTTTTTTAACATTTGTTCATTTTTGAGAGGCAGAGACAGAGCACAAGCGGGGGAGGGATAGAGAGAGAGGGAAACATAGAATCTGAAGCAGGCTCCAGGCTCAGAGCTGTCCGCACAGAGCCCGACGTGGGGCTCGAACTCACAAACCGTGAGATCACGACCTGAGCCGAAGTCGGACACTTAACTGACTGAGCCACCCAGATGCCCCCAAATCAGTACTTTCTAACATCACTAGTTAGGGTGTGTGTGTGTGTGTGTGTGTGTGTGTACAGGCAAGGACAAAGGCTATAATGGTGTGTAGAATTTTGTAGCACCATTCATGGGTCTTTATTCTACTGTGCACTTTACACACTTAATTTAAGCTTCACACATACCCCATGAAGCATAAGTATTATTCTAAAATGAGGATATACCTTAGGTAGTAACAAATTAAGGTCCCCAGAGCCAGAAGAAGGAGCCAAGACTCCAGCCCAGGTCCACTACCCATCCATCGCCCCTTTGTTGACCTTACCTAATTAGGAGATAAATGTCTCATCGTAACAGCCAATCCATATGGCCCCAGCATCAAAATTGAGAAGAACTCTAGGAAAAATGGAGGTTCATAGCAAAATAATCACATTAATCCACATCTCGAATTCAATTGTCCCTATTCCTGAGATGCTTAAGGTGAAATTACATAGGTAAAAATAAATATGAGGCAAAGTTTTGTTTCAAGTTAAGGCTTGAAAGACCTTACAGTTGTGTTCGCAAATTGAATATATGGTTTGAAATGTACAAAGACTCCACTTAGGCCTCCCTGTGAAACAGGAGAGATTCCCCTCCACCTGCCAGCACAGAATAGGCTTGTGCTCTGACTGCAACCTGCCCAACCCCTCTGATCTTGCATTGCTTCAGGGTTACAAAGGGAACATCTCCCTACAGGCTTCTTAACTTGCATCCCAGGACCAGAACCCCGGTCCTGTGACTTTCTGCAATACCTCATTATGCCGGGATTCCCACCACACAAGCATGCCACGAAATACAACTGAGATCTTTGTGAAGGTGCTTTGAAAAGCAAGGGCTATTGAAAGGTGAAGGAGCTTTCGTGAAAGCAAAGTGGGATTTGGCCCAAATGCTTTACCTCACCCGCCTGTTGAAGCATACATTAATGATTATAAAGCAGAAATCCTAAACAATGAGATCATGGCATGCATGCCATCTTGGTGTTCCATCAGGATGAAATTTGCCTAAGGAATTTAAATTCCATTTGCCTAAGGAACGCAAATTACAAAAGACCTCAAAGAGCCTGTGGCAGGGGGGGAACTCAGGTGGGTCTGTGCAGTTGCAATGAATTTGGGCCCATTCTGCAGGGGATGATCAGTCCTTTGCAGGCAGGGAGTTTGCTAAATCATGTTGGCAGCGGCAGCCCAAAGTAATTACCCTTGCTGTGTATACACAGTTCCCATTAGGGCCGCGGTTTGGCTGTCTGGGCCCAAGGCTGTGTTGACACCTATCGCATAAACACTTCCTTGCGGAGATTTTTCATCTCATTGCACTTAAAAAAAAAAAAAAAAA